GAACGAGTCTCCAGAGGTGGAACGGCTGGGGAAGGGGTCTCTGTTTCACACCAACTTCGTCAGCTCTCCTTGCTGATAAGAAAGCTTTTCCTTTCTTTTTGCCATTTTAATTTGGAAGGGAAGAATTCAGGCTCTGTCCCAACTAGTGTAACCTTGGGCAAGTGAATAGACTGGGTACCATATCATTAAATGTACGGAGAACAGTTAATGGAGAAAGATGACAACACTTTTAGAGAAGCTTGTGAACCGGAGAGCTTGGGGTCAGACCCAGATAATGTGATGCCCTGCACGACTGTGCCTTTATACAATCTCGTTAACAGGACTCTACTTCCCTTTTAAAACGAATGGGGCCCGGCCGGCCGTGGCTCAGCGGTTGAGTGTTGACCTAGGATCCAGGCCATCGGGGTTTGATTCCCAGTCAGGGCACATGCCCAGGTTGCGGGCTCGATCAATGACTCTCTCATCATTGATGTTTCTATCTCTCTCTCCCTCTCCTTTCCTCTCTCTAAAATCAATAAAGATATATTTTTTTTAAAAAATAAAAATAAAAAAAATAAAACTAATGGGAAGTGGCATTACAACGGTTTTCAGGGGCAGTAAATTTTCCTAACACAAGGCCAACTTTCCAGGGCATTCCCTGACAGCCTACCCCACTCCACACTGGTTTAGGGTCCCTCGTATATTTTTCAGAAAGTCCTGTGTTTTAGGCCACTCCAAAGCACTTATCATCTTTTATGTGTCTGCTCCCCCTGTGACCTCCTTGAGAAAGGGTCATGTCATTAATCTCTGGGACCTAGGGGGTGCTCAGCATTTGATGAATGGGGTGCATTGGTGGATGGACATAGAGACCCCTAGATTTTATCATCCTTCCCCAGTTCTTATTTCTTACCTTCTGGACCAAAAGGTAAACATCCTCTAATAAAAGATGCCTCCCTGTGTTTTTGGCCTTGGTTCCTTGGAGAGCTCCATACTCACAAGTGGCTGAGGAGAAGTTAAAGGCTACCTTTGGACCCCGTCAGAAGGGCTTAAGAACCTCTGGGGCGTCGCTCCACTCGCTCCCAAGCAAGCGCTATAAAGCGGTGATTTTCAACCTTTTTCATTGCATGACACACATAAACTAATTACTAACATTCTGCAGCACATCAAATATATATGTTTTGCCAATATGACCAGAAATATAGGTATCATTTTGATTCATTCACACAGGACAGCTTCTGTTCTGCTAGCTGTTGTCATTTTTTTATTTGACAATCTAGGGAAAAGAAGTCAGTGCCCCTGACTAGACAGCCAGGTGTATTGCATGTTTTAAAAAACACCAGTTGAAAATTGCTGCTATAAACTCATATTTGAACTTAAGATCTTGCCTCTGTCAAAAGCTGTATCTGAGATAGGTGGCATTTGCCACTTATCAATCATTTCCCTTAGCGGACTCACCGAAGAAATCTTTGAAAGTTAAGGTTGAACAGGGCACGGTCATCTTACATATAATGGGATGGCCCCCAGACAAGCCTATTCACTTGCCCAAGGTTACACTAGCTGGGCAGAGCCTGAATTCCTCCCTTCTGGCTTCCAGTAGTTTAGCCTTGCTGTGCCTCCAAAAGCCTCTTGGGAAATCACCAGGCAACCTTCCTCCTTCATTCATTCCCCAACATTTATGCAGCACCCACTAAGAATCAAGCAGTGTGCTGGAGCCTGCAGTTAGGCGATGAAAAGTAACAGTTCCTGCCCTGCAGAGGCTTTCTGCTCTGACCTGCACCTAGGAAAGCCCCGAGTTTCTGCACATTAGATCCGAGTTCCCTGTGGCCTGCAGCAGCTCTCGTCTGGGGAGCAGAAAGAAGTCAGCACCCTGCCTCCAGTTCCTCCTGGACCTGGTGGGCTCCAAGCCCCAGCCCCTCCCGCCTACCCTGGATCTTGTCCTACCGTTGCCACCAAACCAATCATGCCAGAAAGTCATCATGATGATTTCAGAACTGCATTGTGATTTATGCAAAGCATGAGGATAATTACAGCCGGGAGGGCAGAACGCAGTAGGAACATGCTGCTGGTGTGTGTGTGCCTGCGTGTTGTGCCTTTTGCCAGGGCTGGATGGTGTGTGTGTGTGTGTGTGTGTGTGTGTGTGTGTGCCTGTGTTTCTATTCAGAGGACTTCTTGACATTCTGCTTGATTAGAGGCTGGTAACAGGAGAAAGAGGGGACATTCCCATTTTGATTTTAAGGCAATTTGGTGAGCCCCATGAGTATTTCACAGAAGTTTTGATGCCTGCAAACACGCCAGCAGGGTGAAAGCGCTGGGGAGTAGGGAACGGCTGTTTAGAGCCCCTGGAGAGCCACAGTCCTACCTGCAAACCCCTGCACCTGCTATGTGGCTTCTAGGTCTCCTCACCACAGACTTCTCAGCTTTTCCCTGGGAGACAGGCCCCGATCTACTCTTTGACACCAGCCTGCATCTTCTCCCGAGATAAATTACTTGGATTCTTGAAGTTCTCTGCCCTTACCCCTCACCCCCACCCCTTGCTTCCACGTGATGATGGTGGTGGCGGCGGCAGCGGCCAGGGGATTTCTGGCGGGAACCAGAACCCCAGGTTCAAAACGGAGCCGGGCACAGCAGTAGCTGGGTCTCTAAAACCTCGCCGTCATTGAGCACGGAGGTCGGAGTTCGAGTTTGTACTGTGTCGCCGCGGGACTAGCTGCTCCAGCGTCTGCCCAACTTGACTGTCAGAAACGTTGACTTCTTGTCCTGCCTGCTGAAACAGAAACAAACAAAACCCCTCAGGTTTATGGCTTTGTCCCACAATGTCCTACTCTTGTCCCAATCCAAAAAGCCTAGGGTGGGTAACTGAGGAGATAGTCGTCCCCCCTTCTTGGTCTTCCCGGGTGTCCCCAGCCCCAGCCCTGGTGGCCGCGCGACACTGGAGAGGACAGCAGGCTCCGAGGTGTTTGGGGTTCGCGGCCCCGAGCTCCAGGCCGAGGCCTGGCCGCAGCAGAAAGTTGCGGCCTCTTGCTGCGGCCACGGCCTGGAGCAGACGGGAGCGCACGGCCCGCTCCCCAGGGACGCGGAGGCCCAGGAGCCGCTGCGCCCTCTGAGGGCTGGGGCTGGGGCTGGGGCAGGGCGGCGGGGCGCGCGCGCTCGCTCACGCACACTAGCCCGGAAAGCCCGGTTTGACACCGAATC